ACGGCATCCCAGGTTCCTAAGCGCAAGGCGGGGAGATTTGCAAGGGCCATACACGGCCACGGCATCCCAGGTTCCTAAGCGCAAGGCGGGGAGATTTGCAAGGGCCATACACGGCCACGGCATCCCAGGTTCCTAAGCGCAAGGCGGGGAGATTTGCAAGGGCCATACACGGCCACGGCATCCCAGGTTCCTAAGCGCAAGGCGGGGAGATTTGCAAGGGCCATACACGGCCACGGCATCCCAGGTTCCTAAGCGCAAGGCGGGGAGATTTGCAAGGGCCATACACAGCCACGGCATCCCAGGTTCCTAAGCGCAAGGCGGGGAGATTTGCAAGGGCAATACACGGCCCCAGCATCCCAGGTTCCTAAGAGCAAGGCGGGGAGATTTGCAAGGGCCATACACAGCCACGGCATCCCAGGTTCCTAAGAGCAAGGCGGGGAGATTTGCAAGGGCCATACACGGCCACGGCATCCCAGGTTCCTAAGAGCAAGGCGGGGAGATTTGCATGGGCCATACACGGCCACGGCATCCCAGGTTGCTAAGAGACTCTCTCGCCTCGTTCACTGACATCTGGGAGCTGAGCTGGTCACTCCCAACAAGCTCCTGGTGACCAGTGACATCAGTGAGCTGGGTGGGTTGCCAGACAGAGCCCCTGACAGCGCGGTCCAGCATCTGCCCCCCCTTGCCCTGGGATGACATCGCCTCAGACAGCCAAAACCTTAGGGACGGACCTGACGCTGCATTTTAGCAGACAGGCGAGTGCGTTGTGGCAGCTCTGGCTGTATGTGTTATCGCACACTTGCGAAGCTGTCACTGTTTACATTTTTTTTATTGGTAGTGTAGATGTATACACTCCATTCAGGCCTTGCACGGCAGCGTAGTGCGCTGTGTTGCGCCCTGTGTTGCATCCAGTGCTCTGTGATGTCATCCAGTGCAGCAGGTTTGCTCATCAAACCCGCGTTGTGGTGTGAACAGGGCACATATAAAACGATAGTCCGTAAAGTGCATCTGCTCACATGCCTTTGACCGTACAACATTACCATTCGTGAATTTCCTCTTCTATTACTCCAGGTCTGTTCTTGTACACGCATGTACCTATGTTTACATGCGTACATTGCTGACTTCTGGCGCAGAATTTTCTACTTTACGCTGCTAAGCGCAGTGCAGATTTACTGAGATGAACGCAGATGTGTGCATGGGCCTATAAAACATAATGCTGATGCATTCAGATTTATTCAGCTTTTTCATTTTACAGATCTGAATACAGCATCTTTTACGCCCATGCGCAGGAGCCCAAATACTTCCCAGATCATTTCTCTCACGTTTAAATAAATCAGACACAGGAAGCTAGCGTGAATGTAGCCATACACCGTAGTGTTGCACTAAACGCACAGTACTAGTGCATTTAGTGCACGCTAACGCACAGCGCACCTGGAGTGCAGTACCGTGTGCTGTTGCGTTGCCAGTCATTTGAATGTGGGTGGCAGAGTAGTGCAATATGTGGTAGTGATGCACGGATACGATACCAATTCACAGCGCTTCCACCGGTCCGCACATCTCCCCCTCCTGAGACCCTCCGTCAGGAGACGTCAGGCCGACACCCCAAAGCAGAGCAGCACAGTGCACAGGCTTGGTGCAGCAAAACTGTCCCTGAACTCCACAGCTATTTTAGAAATATTGCCTGTTGTTTCTGTCCTGTGCTTTATTCTGCATTGCTGTATAATGTATTGCTGAGACCTGTAGTCCTCTATAGCTGGTGGTGTTTTTTCTGTATTGCTGTATAATGTATTGCTGGGATTTGTAGTCCTCTATAGCTGGTGGTGTTTTTTCTGTATTGCTGTATAATGTATTGCTGAGACCTGTACTCCTCTATAGCTGGTGGTATTTTTTCTGCATTGCTGTATAATGTATTGCTGAGACCTGTACTCCTCTATAGCTGGTGGTGTTTTTTCTGTATTGCTGTATAATGTATTGCTGAGACCTTTACTCCTCTATAGCTGGTGGTATTTTTTCTGCATTACTGTATAATGTATTGCTGAGACCTGTACTCCTCTATAGCTGGTGGTGTTTGTTCTGTATTGCTGTATAATGTATTGCTGAGACCTGTACTCTATAGCTGGTGGTATTTTTTCTGCATTACTGTATAATGTATTGCTGAGACCTGTAGTCCTCTATAGCTGGTGGTATTTTTTCTGCATTGCTATATAATGTATTGCTCGGATCTGTAGTCCTCTATAGCTGGTGGTGTTTTTTCTGTATTGCTGTATAATGTATTGCTCGGATCTGTAGTCCTCTATAGCTGGTAGTATTTTTTCTGTATTGCTGTATAATGTATTGCTGAGACCTGTACTCCTCTATAGCTGGTGGTATTTTTTCTGCATTGTTGTATAATGTATTACTCGAATCTGTAGTCCTCTATAGCCAGTGCCATTCTGTATTGCTGTATAATATATTGCTGGAATTTGTAGTCCTCTATAGCTGGTGGTATTTTTTCTGCATTGCTGTATAATGTATTGCTGGGATTTGTAGTCCTCTATAGCTGGTGGTATTTCTTCTGCATTACTGTATAATGTATTGCTCGGATCTGTAGTCCTCTATAGCCAGTGCCATTCTGTATTGCTGTATAATATATTGCTGGGATCTGTAGTCCTCCATAGCTGGTGGTATTTATTCTGCATTGCTGTATAATGAATTGCTGGGATCTGTAGTCCTCTATAGCTGGTGATATTTTTTCTGTATTGCTGTATAATGTATTGATGGGATTTGTAGTCCTCTATAGCTGGTGGTATTTCTTCTGCATTGTTGTATAATGTATTGCTGGGATTTGTAGTCCTCTATAGCCAGTGCCATTCTGCATTGCTGTATAATGTATTTATTGCTGAGATTTGTAGTCATCTTTAGCTGGTAGTATTCTGCATTGCTGTATAATGTAATGCTGGGATTTGTAGTTCTCTATAGCTGATTATTCTGTGTTGCTGTATAACATATTGCTGGGATTTGTAGTCCTCTATAGCTGATGGTATTCTGTATTGCTGTATAATGTATTGCTGGGATTTGTAGTCCTCTATAGATGGTGGTATTATTCTGCATTGCTATATAATGTATCACTGAGATTTGTAGACCTCTATAGCTTATGCTATTCTGCATTGCTGTATAATGTATTGCTGGAATTTGTAGTCCTCTATAGATGGTGGTATTATTCTACATTGCTGTATAATGCATTGCTGGAATTTGTAGCCCTCTATAGCTGGTGGTATTCTACATTGCTGTATAATATATTGCTGAGATTTGTAGTCCTCTATAGCTGATGGTATTTTGAGATTTGTAGCCCCTCTACAGCTTGGACTCAGTGGCAGCACTACCAGGGTTGCAGCTGCGTCTGGTCCCTGGTGCTCCACCACTGTCCTAAAATCATTAGTCTGTATTGTTTTAGAAACATTTTCACATGCTACTAAAAAAAAGTATCAGTAATTGATATCGGCGAGTACTTGAGGAAAAGTATTGGTACTCGTACTTGGTCTTGAAAAAATGGAATCGGTGAATCCCTAATACGAGGTACTGCTATGTTGCGCATTGTGGTGCAAAAAAGTTCTGCCCTAAACGCACCGTGCATTTAGTGTAAATCATAATGTGATTCTTGTACTGAGTCAGGTGAATTTTCATGACAGGTCCACTTTGGAAGGTAGTAGCGGTGATCTATATACATTGTATTCATCATGTGATTACGATGATGCTACAACCAGATACAATGTAGCCGGACTGGCTGTCCCCACATTGTGTACCGGCATAATGTGGAATATACACAGCTACAGGTACATATAATCTATGGAGGAGAGGAGAGGACAGGCAGACAAAGCTGTGCCTGGCCTCCATAGGGGCTGTGTGTAGCAGGACACATGGATCATACAGAGCCCATACCAATCTCATTGTGTGTCCTGTGCGCCTCCCCCCCTCCCCAGCATGTCTGTGCATGGAGAGGAGGAGACACAGGAGGAGGAGGACTGGATGTAGTAATGCTAACAGAGAAACGTGTGAAAGGACTCTACACAACTGCCCAGGGCAATTATCTGACCTCCCAAACTGTGACAGGAAGACCTTGCTGAAATACAAAGGGAGGCCAGAGACCCCAACACTGGAGAGTCCCCAACACATGAGAGACCCCTACAAGTGCCCAGGAACAATACCCCGAGCTGAGACCTCAGTGCAAGTAAGAAGATCCAGGCTGGAGCAGATCCTCCTCCCAACAATCCCAAAAGACTGCAGGCTAGAGATAAGTAGACCTCCCCTTCCAAACCAGAAGACCCGTACACCGGAGGACAGAGAGTAACAAGAGGCCCCTACACCGGAGGACAGAGAGTAACAAGAGGCCCCTACACCGGAGGACAGAGAGTAACAAGAGGCCCCTACTCCGGACAGAGTAAGGGAGACCCCCTACACCGGAGGACAAAGAGTAAGGGGGACCCCCTACACCGGAGGACAAAGAGTAAGGGTAGACACCCTACACCGGAGAACAGAGTGTAAAGGGAGACCCTTGTACTAGAGGACACAGGGTATAAGGGGACTCCCTGTACTGGAGGACCATAATGGAGGAATCAGAGACCCCCCACAATTGAGGATATCAGGGTCCCCATAATGGAGTAATCAAAGACCCCTCCTAAGTTGGAATTGATGGAGTAACTTCCGTCCCTCACTACAAATTTCAGAGACTAATTGGGGTCTGGAAGTAATCGGATCCCTCATAATGGAGTAATCACAGACCCCATCCAGGAGTAATCTGAGACCCCCAGCTAGGAGTACAGGGGGGTAATCAGAGGGGATCCCCTCCCGTCCACAAATACAGAGACATCCCCCCATCCAGAGGAAGTACAAGGAGCCCCCCAATCCTTAGGGAGTCCCCCATCCAGAGGGAGTACAAGGAGCCATCCCCTCCCCCAGTTGGAGAACGTGAATGGAGTGAGCTGATCCCGGAGCTGTGCACACTAGGAGCCCCCGGTGTCCCGCTCAGTTCCGGTGTGAAGGGGGGTGACTCCCGGTACAGAAGGAGGGGGAGGGGATCCCGCACTGGTCAGGCATGGTACTGATGGAGGCCCGGGGCCTGTCCCCGCTCATCGCTCTGCTCTCCGTGCTGGCCACAGCCGCTCTACCCCCCGGCTGTAAGCAGGACGGCCGCCCCCGGACTCCAGGCAAGGCGGCGGCTGGAGGATCTGGAGGGGAGGCGGGGAAGGTGATATGCAGCAGCCTGGAGAGTGCACGGAGATTACCACTGGGAGCTCTACCGAACAGGACCAACACCCTGTGAGTACACCCCGTATATACTGCCCGATCTACACCCCGTATATACTGCCCGATCTACACTCTGTATATACTGCCCGATCTACACCCCGTATATTGCCCTATCTCCACACGTATACTGCCCGATCTACCCCCCATGTATACCCTATATACTGCCCGATCTACACCCCATGTATACCCTATATACTGCCCGATCTACACCCCATGTATACCCTATATACTGCCCGATCTACACCCCATGTATATACTGCCCGATGTAAACCCCGTATACTACCTGATCTCCCCCCCGCATATACCCCATATACTGCCCGATCTACACCATGTGAGTTCAGCTCGTATACTGACTTAGCAACACTCCATATACATCCCGTATACCACCCTGTGAGTACACCCCATCTACACCCTGTGAGTACACCCCATCTACACCCTGTGAGTACACCCCATATACCACCCCATCTACACCCTGTGAGTACACCCCATCTACACCCTATACACTACACCCTTTCCTTACAATGTGTGCTCAGTCTACACCCCATTGCCTCCTCATGGATTGTGTATATGTCCTCTGTCTTCTATGTTTGTATTCTATAGATGATTGGAAGGTGATGAGAGTAAGATGGCGGCACCAGGTCCCAGCTCTTACCTGTCCTGTCTCTAAAATCTGCCGGCGCCGATATCGACTTACAGAAAATCAACGTGTATATTGGCTGCTGGGGGTGCGCCTATCGTGTACCCCATACCCAGCAGGAGGGGGTGGTGTCAGGGTACTGGAGCTGCAGATCGGGGGGGCTGAGAAGGTCTGAATGACTGTGGTATGGAGTGACTTCAATGTCGGCATAGCACAGCTCCGAACACCCCAAACCTTTTCCCGGCCCTATACACCATCTAACTTTATTTAACATGAAGTATTACAAAGCAGACAAAGGATTTGTTCACATTGTACATCTGCAGGGGAGCTGGGTGGAAATTGTTCCAAACAATAACTGCGTCCAATCAGATGCAGTCTCTTCTGCCAATCAGACAGCTGTGGGTGGAGAATGTCTGAATACAGTAGCTGGCAGGGGAGATTCCTCCATCCTCGCTGTCAGTCATGATTTGTCTCATTGAGTATTGTGTAAGGAACAGATGACAGATTTAGTTTCCCCGTAGGTGCGTTGTAAATACTTTTTGTTATCATATAGAATTTGTAATAGTTGGTTACCAGGTCAAGTAACAAATTGTCCTGAAATTGGACCTTCATCCTAAAAAGTAAAGTTTGCATTGTTGTAACCC